GACCCAATACGACCAAGACTACTCTACCCAGCAAGGCTATCATTTAAAATCAAAGGACAGATAAAGAGCTTCCCAGACAAGACAAAACTAAAGGAGTTCATCACCACCAAACCAGTATTACAAGGAATGTTAGAGGGACTTCTTTAAGATGAAAACAAAACAAAAAGATCAAAATTATGAATAATAAAATGACAATAGTTACACATCTATCAACAATTACTTTCAATGTAAATGGATTAAATGCTTCGATCAAAAACATAGGGTGGCTGAATGGATAAGAAAACAAAACCCTTACATATGTTGCCTATAAGAGACTCAATCCAGATCAAAAGACCCACACAGACTGAAAGTAAAGGGATGGAAAAGACATTTCATGAAAATGTACATGGAAAAAAAACAAAAAAAGCTGGAGTAGCAATACTTACACCAGACAAAATAGACTTTAAAACAAGAGACAAAGAACAGGCGCCAATAAAATTAGTAAACAAGGAATAAGTTGCCTCCCAAACACAAAAGAATTTAAACAGCATTGTAGGTGTTGAGAGGGACTGGGCCTTCAAGTGCTTCCCTTTGTGGGTCAAGGGGCCTTAGCCTGGGTCACTAACCACAGACCTCTCTCCCCACTGTAGATGCTTGGGACCATCATTTACTTACACCAGGCTTTTATATGGAAAGGAAGAAAATTGTAAGGATCTTTCACTAGCTCAATCAGAAAACTACTATCTATTCTTTTCAGAAAAAGATGTCAGTTAATTATATTTTCAGGGAAAATAACTGATTTGTAAATAATTAATCACACTTAAGCACTTCTGCTCTTTAAGTCTAAACCCTGCAATTTGATTTGAAAACACCCAAAAGTAAAGAACAGACTTCACAAATTTACTACATATGCTCAGGGGAAGACGGATGAAAGAATTCTACACAAATGGAATGCAATACTGGAATATTTTATTTTTCTGAAATTCACCTCTTACTTGCTTGGAACTACTGTATACTGTTTTCATGCTCTATTAATTAAACACATTACACCCTTATTAAAAAAACGGAGACTTGAGTAAGTCAATAAATCCTTTCAAGGTGACATACCCACAGAGGAACACTGCTGACAGGAGAGAACACCCAGGAAAGTTTCCAAATAAGAACCTCCACCCAAAGGTCTTCCCATAGGACATCTGTGCCCAGGGAAGGTCCCGGGGGAGAGGAATGGGAATTTCAACTTTTCCTGTTAGTTACTCTCGGCTTTCCTCTCCTGTAAAATATCCACAGAGAAAAAATAACTCCTTAAAAATGTAGAGATTGGGGCGGCCAGTTAGCTCAGGTGGTTAGAGTGCAATGCTCATAACACGAAGGTTGCCAGTTCGATTCCCATATGGGCCAAGGAGCTGCACCCTCCACAACTAGATTAAAGACAACTACTTGACTTGGAGCTGATGGGTCCTGGAATAACACAGTTCCCCAATAAAAATTTAAAAAAAAATTTAGATATTGGTCCCAGGAAGAGCTAGGCTGGGGGCACAGGGGGCGTGGAATTGAGACCCAGCAGCACAAACATTTGAAAAATTCAGGACAAAACGGGTCCCCCTGGGGCACAGGAAGGACTGGTGAGTTAAGGAATGTCCAAACCTGTAGAAAAAATTTTATGTGCTTATGAGATCCAAACAGAGGATATGCCTGGAAGCAAGATCTCAACAGACTGAGAAAAAAGCTTCTTACAATGACAGTTTGCAGTTCTTTTATGCATTTGGAAGTACTGGACTGTGGGAGCGAGCAAGGCAGGAATTGGATTACAGGACAGTTAACAAGATTATGTGCTCTATGGAGGGTGGCTGTTTCCAAGACTTCTGGAAAAAGAGGCATTTCAAAGGTGTGTTAACCTAAATGCACAAGAACAATGGACAGGGCTTGCTTAAGGCAAAGATAAACCTTTTACTAAAAGAGTTACGTGCCTGGGCATCACTATCCACCATGACCTTCCCAGTTAGGAATTTATGATCAGATCACCCTGTGAGGTTACTTTCGGTTATAAAGAACCCCTTTTTTCATCCACACTGAGAAACCCGCAAACCACAGCTCCTCCACGCACGAACCCCACAGACTGCGTCACGACTGTCCCTTGATGACACTCCCCGTGGTCACTGCACCGTTTGGGGAGATGCAGGGCTGCCGGCACAGAGCTGCCCGGAGAGGCTCCGGGGCCGCGGCCAAAGTCACCAAGCGCTGTGACGGGACTGGACAGGTGGGGGAGGGCGGAGAGCAAATGTCGACCCAACCCCCACGCTGCCTGCGGGAGGAGACTGAGGTCCCAGCAGCGCCCCTAATGGACTCAGGTCCGCAGACTTCCGAGGTGACCGCGGGGAGGCCGGTCCAGCCATAGCCGGTTTCAACTGGTTCCAACCTGCTTCTCCTCCCCTGTCTGCATCCGGACCGCACACTCACCATTTCTATTTCCTGGGTCTCCCTGAGTCCTTCCTACGGCTCCCACGACCAGTATAGATCACAGCGCGACAGACGCTGCAGCAGACCCACTAGGGACCGTGAAAGGAAGCCGACACTCGAACCTAAGCGCCTCTGGAGCCAGTGGGGATGTGCATGGCATTGAGGTGCGTTGCCCCACCCACTTGCCCCAGCGACGCTCCTGATTGGACAGGTCCCAAGGCTGAGTGACAGCCAGCTAGAGAACTGGCTGAAACAGCTTACCCTGGTGAGCGGGACCACCGCCCAGCCTGGGACATCTGTATAAACAGAATTTTTGTAAACCTGGGCTGCTTGTGTAGTTTGCTTTTTTGTTTTAATCACGAAAACACACATTTTATTGCACATAAGTTATAAGAAAATAAAATTTCTAAGTGAATCATCAAACCAGACACAATCCCTTTAAAGGTTGTTTTCCTCCATCATGTCAGGTTGTTACATAACTAAAATTAACCAACTTGAATCTGATTGTTTTAAATCAGACTACAAATAAACAAAAAATAATAATAAACGGGGAGAAAAAAATGATCACCTAGGATACAATGTTAAATAACTTTCACATTTCAGCTTGAGTTGTGGCTCTTGGAAAATGAGACAAACCATGTGACTTTTTCATTGATTTTGTTTGCATGTGACACCCTTACTACAAAAACTGAGTTGTTTCTGCTTTGTCAGTTACTAAGAGCAATTAAAACGTAACCGTGGTTTTCCCAAATAATGTACAGTACTAAGACAGCAACTTTAATTTTGTTTTACATATTTTTAAAATATTTTGTCAGTTTTGTTATGTACAGTCATCCATTCACCACAGCTCTTAGAAAGAAAGTTTTGTCATAAAACAGGAAGCAATCGCTTTGTTCCAAGGAATGTGTTTTAATTTTTGCCCAGATAAAATAAGCTTTGTACACACTCTCAACTTGTAGGCAAACTTAGTATTATCTGAAACTCTCCTATTCTCAGCCTCTTAGAGGCACAGAATGTTCAAGTTTCAGTTCTGCCTTTGTTGTTTCCCCCCAGTTCTTTGTGACCTGGAGGGCACAGGTGTGTGTGCACAGGGAATCCTGATTCAGTTTCCAGATGGAGGATGAAAGTACAGAACACGAGGGAGGCCAGGCCAGGCTACACTGGAACAAGAGGGCTGTAGGGCTCAAGAGCTTGGCAGTAAGGCTGTTAGTCCACTCATGGAACTGAAACCCTTGTTTAGAAATGCAGACACTTAAATGTGACTTCACCATCTGTGATAGAGTCTGCCTCCATTTTAAATAGTCTTTGGTCCTTGACAGCATTGAGCCTTCTGCCCATTTCCTCCCCACCTCCACTCTTTTGATCCTTAAGAGAAGGAGTCCCACAGCACTTGGCTCTGGTGGGAAGTTTGAACCTGGAGCCCCAGCCTGGGGATTAGGACTCTTCTCAGTCTAACCACAGGGTGTGAGATATGTTCATTACATTCTCAGCTGTACGTTTTACACTGAAGAAAATTTAATTTAGATCAGTTTTTGCATAAGTCCCTAGAGAACTTTGAAATGCAAACGACTGGAATATCTGTAAGACAATTCCTATTCAAGAAAAACAATAAGTGGTTATGTAAATAAATGTGGGATGCATCTGGAAACTTTTTCCTTCCAGATTCATTGAGATGTAACTGACTAATAAAATTATCTATATTTAAAGATTACAAGGTGATTTGATATGCATATACTGTATAGCATACTGGAAATTTGCTAAAATAGTTGTTGTGTCATTGGAATTAACCCATGGTCTTTCACAAAAGGTGAATAAATTTACAGACTCAGCCTGAAATGAGGAGAGCAAGGAAGTAAGTTTATTCAAGAAGAAAGATGTTGGCATAGAAATTGCCAGAGAAGTTGCCAGGGCAGACAACTGTACCTAACTTTAGGTGAGCTTTTTTTTTTCTTTTCTTTTTTTTTTAAAGATTTTTATTGGGGAATTGGGGGATGGGAACAGTGCTGAGAATTGGGGGAAGGGGAACAGACAAGTTGCTGTCCTTTTGTTCTTCAGTCTAGTTGTGGAGGACGTTGCTTCACTGGCCCAAGTTGGTACCATCATTGTGCTCTTCCCGTGCGAGGCAGATCAGTCGCCAGCTTCTGGACGGCTGCTCACTGCCCGCTCACACTGGGCTGCTGGCTACACACAGCAACCCACTGCAGCAGTGGCTGCAGCCTACTCCGTTGCAGTCGACTCATGGCAGCCCAGCTCTAGGTTGAGCTGTTGTTCAGCATCTTAGCTGTAGAGGGCAGTGTCACTGGTCCTTATATGTGGGATCCGAACCGGGGCCCTCTGGCGTCCTAAGCCAGCTCTTAACCAATGCACCACTCGGCCGGCCCTAGGTTAGCTTTTACTTATGTAGGAAAGGGTAGGTAAATTTACTTATAGCAGATGTGACGTATAGATTGAGGTAATTTGATTGACATATGTTGGTTATATATCTAGTTTCTTTCTGTGTATGCTCTTGCCCAGAATGCACACAGAAAAACCCACAGAGGGGGTGGGCAAGCCTTAATATTCATTCCACTCTAATTGCATTATAATTAGGCTAGAGTTCAACTAACGGACAGATTTTTGGCAGTTTGCACATGTGTGAAGAACCAGTTAATACCAGTTGGCTCTTATCTCTTCTTTTTATGAGGGTTTAGACATTTTAGATTTATTTCTAGGGATGCATCTGGGGGTTCCTGGGGAGGGGATGCAGGCCTGGGCAGTCCCCCTTCAAGTTCACTTTTATTAACCCTTTTCCACCTCATCAATAGTGACTTAAGTGGTCTCACCACACACAAAACTGTAACTATGTGAGGTGATGGATGTGTTCATTAATCTGTAAACATTAATATGCCTCAGACACTGGACTGCAAAACTCTTAATGCATTTATTATTTATTTATTTATTTATTTATGTATTTATGTATTTATTTACATGAACAACTTTTATTGATATGCACATACTATGCACCTCATAAAAGTGTACAATTCAGTATACTAAAGTTTTTCAGTATGTTTGCATATATGTGCATCACCACAATTTATGAACATTTTCATCACATTAAAAAAAAACAAAAAACCCTCTTCCCTTTAGCTATAGTTCCCAAACTTTTCATTTTTCTCTCCAATCCCCAGCTCTAGGCAACCCCAAGTTTACTTTCTGTCTACAGATTTCCCTATCTAGGGCTTTCATCTGAAAGGAATTCTATTATCTGTGGTCTTCGTGATTGAGTTCATTGATGTAGCATAATTTTTTCAAAGACATCATGTGGTAACATGTATCAATATTTCATTTATTGTTATGGCTGAATAATATTCCATTGGATGGATAAAACACGTGTTATCTATTCTTCCATTAATGTACATTTGGTTTGTTTCTACTTTTTTGGCTACTGTAAATAATGTTGCTATAAACTTCATGTACAGGTTTTTGTTCAAATATGTGTTTTCATTTTGGGGGGCATATACCTGTGAGAAGAATTGAGGAATCATGGTAATTCTAAAGTTTAATATTTGAGAAACTTTCAGATGGTCTTCCACAGTGACTGCACCATTTTATATCACAGCACCCATCTATGAGGGTTCAAATATCTCTGTGTGTCCTTGACAACGTTTTTTATTGATTCACTTTTTGATTCTAGCTATCCTCATGGTTGTGAAGTGGTATCTCACTGGAGTTTTGATTAATGACTTCATTTCACTTTAGCATTTCGTGGGTGAGTAATGATGTCCAGCATTTTTTTCATGTGCTCTTGACCATTTATCTGCATTGGAAGAAGGTGTATTTAACTCTTTACCATTTTTAAATTGAGTTGTTTGATTTTCTATAATTAAGTTATAAGAGGTCTTTAGATATTTTTGATACAAATATCTTATCAGATATATTTATAAAATTATTCATTCTATGGGTTGTATTTTCACTCTCTTGCCTTAAAAACTTACTTGTATAAAATAATATTGAATGTCAACTGTAATTGAAAAATTTTAAGGGGGGAAAAGGTGAAGGGGAATAAGAGGATCGAACTTCCAGGTATAAAACAAGTAACTCATGGGGATGTAATGTACAGCATAGGGAATATAGTCAATAATATTGTGATAGCATGGTACAGTATCAGATGGTTGCTGGACTTATCATGGTGATCACTTCTTTAGGTATATAAACTATGGTGTACACCTGAAACTAATATAATATTGTATGTTTGCTACATTTTAATAAAAATCTTTTAAAAATGTATATAAAAGAAAAAAATAAATTAAAAAATATATGGTTATAAATAGCAAAAACAAAAACAGAAACCCAAAAACCAATATAGTCATTGTTTTTTGGGGGAAAGAAAGCATAGCATAAGGAATACAGTCAATAATATTGTAATAATTATGTATGGTGTCAGATGGGTACTAGACTTATCAGGGTGATCACTTTGTAAGTTATATAAATGTCTAATCACTATGTTGTACACTTGAAACTAATATATCATACTACTATGTCAACTATAATTGAAAATAAAAAATTATTTTAAAAATTTACTTGTAATTGTGGTAATATGCACATACTATAAAATTTACATTTTGTAAGTATGTTGTTCAGTAAAGAGGACACTGTCATTGTAAAACCAATC